AGGGGAGTAATTACACAGAATAGACTCAGCAACAATATTATTGCTCATTTATAATTTTAATATATTGTAACTTGGAATACTTATCAATGTTTGAAGGTGTATGGTTGATTATGAAAATTGCAAAATTGTGTCATTATGCATGTACTATATATAATAATATTTTTAAATTAATATTGTTCATAGGATGGTGAAACTCTACTACATTGTGCCAGTGAATCTGATGAAGTTGAAATGCTTGAATTTTGGATCAAGAGAGGAGATTATGATGTGAATGTTAAAAATAAAGTAATTTCAATTCTACTAATTAGATCTAGTTACTTTATGTTTTATCATATAGAGGAATAGAACTCCATTGTTTAATGCTCTTGATAAGTATAGATGTAGTATTGAAGCTGTTGATATTTTATTAACTAATGGGGCTAGAACGGATGTTGTGGATACAGTAAGTTATATCAAGAGTAGATCTATTATCTACTTTTGATTATATGTACTAAAAAGTTAGAGGAGTGTCATAATTTTGGTATTTTTATGGGCGACCAAAAATTATGAGCATCATGTCTGCATAAGCCACAGCATTAAGATCATGTGTTGCTAGCTGATGTACTCCAACAATTCATCATTTTTGGAGTCCTTTTATCTCCTTATGAAAGTAAAACTAGCATCCATTGATTATTATTGACTCATAGTCATTAATCTATGCATATTAAAGTTTTGAATGAACTTTTTAGGTTTAATAATTATAATTAATAATTTATATACATGTAGGATGATGATAGCACTCCATTACACACTGCTAGTGAAAATGGTAACAGTAAAATTATTGAATTATTAATAACTAAAGGAAAGGCTGATGTGAATGCTATGGATGAGGTAAAGTTACTAATAATAATTTCTAATTTTATCATTTTGTGTATTTATAGAAGAACAGAACTCCATTGTTTAATGCTGTTAAAGAAGGTAGCATTGAAGCTGTTGAGATTCTATTAACTAATGGAGCTAGAACTGATGTTGTAGATAAAGTACATCTTAACTTTAAAAAATACATGTATCACTTGCTACTGTCTGATTGAGTAAAATGATTACTTGTAGATGTCAAAATACAAATTTGACTTAATTTTATATAATAAAGAAGGATGGGATATGATAATATGCACAAAGCTTTATATTGCTTATATAAATGGAACAAAAACAAAAGCAACATTTATCAGTATAATTCTCACCCAAAATTGAGATGCTAGGGGAGTAAATTACACAGAATAGACTCAGCAACAATATTATTGCTCATTTATAATTTTAATATATTGTAACTTGGAATACTTATCAATGTTTGAAGGTGTATGGTTGATTATGAAAATTGCAAAATTGTGTCATTATGCATGTACTATATATAATAATATTTTTAAATTAATATTGTTCATAGGATGGTGAAACTCTACTACATTGTGCCAGTGAATCTGATGAAGTTGAAATGCTTGAATTTTGGATCAAGAGAGGAGATTATGATGTGAATGTTAAAAATAAAGTAATTTCAATTCTACTAATTAGATCTAGTTACTTTATGTTTTATCATATAGAGGAATAGAACTCCATTGTTTAATGCTCTTGATAAGTATAGATGTAGTATTGAAGCTGTTGATATTTTATTAACTAATG